GCGGGCAGAGGAGCTCTGGCTGCAAGAGGGCTGGCTGCTCTCTGCTGCGCTCGGGAGCTGGGTGGGTGTTTTCCGGTCTGATGTGAAAATCAGCGTCATGCTCTGTCATCCCAAAGCAGAATCTGAAATCTCTCTTGTTCCTCTTCCCCTCGATTAACTGCTCTCCGTTACACATCTCTTAAGCTGTCGTGTTTGTTCCTCTTTGCTGTAAGACCCCTTTGCCTTCGTGTGCTTAGCAGCGGTTGCTCGGAGTCACACACCTGAAGGTTTTGATTCGAATTGAGGTGCAGTGACTGTGACAGGCACAGGCAGGCAGCCTCGCAGGTAGGCTAATCCTGAAGCCACGCAAGAAATCAAGGTTCAGGCCTCAGCGCTGATTTTGGGCTACACAGATCCGAGGTGCGCTTGTTCTTACTGGAGAGCCATCAGACCTACCCTTGGCCTCGTGCAGTTGCTGAGGAATTGGTGCCCGTGCTGTTTGCAGAAGCAGAAGTCCCTGCAGGGGGCAAGGGATGGGACCTAAAGCTGGAATACAGGGTTTGGTTCTGCAGGCAGCGCTTTGTGAAAAATGATGTATCTCGTATGTCAGGTGACTTGATGGCTGTATTAACGCAGCTGAGTTAGTTTTTTGCGTTCGGACCCACATTAAAACAGCACTGTCATTGTAGGGGTGTGCAGAGGGCGTCTGGGAGGTCTGCACTGAGAAGGCTGGCAGGAGTCTGTGAGGGCAGCCCTTCGTAACGAGGCTAGTGGAGGGGAGGGGAGAAACGAAAATACAGCTATTGAAGTTTTACCCCAGAAATCTAAGGATTTTATCCTAAACATTTTTGGCAAGTATGTTCCCAGGAATTCAGTGTAATGCCTTTTACCACTCTTTCTTGATCTGGCATACAACCAACCGGTAACTTAAATGGCACAAAAATCAAGTTGCTTGATGTAGTACACTGTAATAACTTACCTAGGTTCCAAAACTGCGTTGCAACCACTAGAATACATTCATAAAAGCTTATTGCAAAGCTTGTTGGAGCCAATAGAAAGTCTCTGATGGAGTAAGCTTTAGGTCAGGTCTCCAGCCCACTGAAATGTCTACAGAAACGCTTGTGCAGTCGCAGTCCTGCCTGTAGATACGAAACAGGTTCGCAGGTTTGTGTTGGCAAAGCCAAACTCATGCAGTGCGTAAACCACGCCACTGTCCAGCTGCCGCCAAATCTGCGAGGGGCTGGAGGATTTCTGGGGGCCCTCGAGCTGCTCCGAATCGCACCCTTTGAGCTCGTGCAGACGTCGCTGACTGGGGCCTTCGGTGTTGGTGCTCCCACCCAGCTCTTCCTCCAGCAAACCGGTACTGAAACCTCCAGGAGTTTGCGCAGTGGCTCTTGATGCTTCATTTGCCCACTGGAGTTTAGTATACATTAAACAAGAAGAGTAAAGGATTTTTGAGCATGAGCCACTATAAATTCTCTTTTCATATTTTTCAGATAGCAGCAGTTTGAGCTTTCCAGTAATCCAGTACTTTTCTGAAAGTTTCAAAATTTTGTTTGCCACCTTGCCCTTCTTAGTTTTCCCCACTGAAAATTAACGAGCAGCAGTCCTGTTTGTGCACAGTTGTCTGGACGCAGAGCTGCTCTGCCAGTCCCTGTGAGCGCAGGGGAGAGCGCAGAGCTGGGTGGGCTCAGCTCCGCTGCCATGGGGCAGAGGCAGGCTGATGCAGTGGGGTCTGAGTTAAAGCGGCGTTTTTCAGGTGGAGACACCCGAAGCGTGTTACTCATGTGTGTGCTTAGTTGCTTCAGCTGCAGTTTATGAAACTGCAGCAGGTCTGGAGGGCTGGATGGTGGCAGAACCTCCACGGTACAGGGGTCTTGTCAGGACCCTCCGCTCTGCAGCGCACCTTACTCTCAGTGTTTCACCCTTCAGGGTTTTCCACTCTTTGTGTTCCAGGCAAAGCCAGAGACCTCCTCTAAATTGCAAGGTTTGATTCTGGCTGCCTGTGTGCCAGGGCACGTGAAAGCAGGTAAAGGGATCGTCCGTGCCGGGGAATGGACGCTGGCACTCCAGCACGCTTCAGATGGTGAAGTGCTCTTAGCTACCCCTCTCACCGCTCTCAGAGAACGCTCCCTCTTTGCACAGCTCCTCTGCTGAGGTCTCCCAGAAACCTTGGTGTGGGCAGCTGCCGCCAGACAGAGAGGGGAGTCTGAGGGGCGTTGCAGGAAAGCCCTGGGAACACTGGTGGTGTTGGCAAGCTGAAATGAGGGGAGTTAGTCTGCTGAAGGAGGAGGCTCTGCGTGCCGCAGTGGAAGTTCACAGCTTGTTCTGGTGCTTTGGTCCTGGCTGCTGGCTCTTGAGGCCTCGGCAGACACGCAGGCGAACATTTCGCGGTGGGGCTGTGGACTTGCCGAGCACCGGTTGCTTGGCCTTCACTCCTGCTGCGCACGCTCTGTGTCCTGCTGTCGCTGTGAGCCGGCTGGGCGTATGTCCGTGCGTGCAGAGAGCTCCTCCGCGCAGGCAGACGAGATTCATGCCCTGGAGCCTGTTGCCATGCCGTGCCTGGGCTCAGTGTCCTCTCCGCTGTGCTGGTACAGCTGTTCCCGGCCCCTGCGTGTCACCCAGTGACCAGGTGGTCTCCCAGAAGCGTCACCCCGCAGAAGGAAGGGCCCGGGTTTGCAGGATGGGTGCTCCCAGGGGCTGTGGTCCTGATGCGCCTGCCAGGGCCAGGGCCAGAGCTGCTGCACGGGCGCAGCCGGCCGGGAAAGAGCAGGCACAGCCGGTCACCTCGACCGGAGTGCTGGGGCTGTCTGTGGTGGTGTTTTTAATTAGGGTTTAGTAGATTGGACAGAATAAATAGACTGAGGGGAATAATAAGAGAGAGAGAAGAGAAAAAAAATGCTTTAAACACCCATAGACCTAGAATATTTATAAAAATAGCTTTATTCCGCTGCAGAAATAATCTGGTTGTGAAGTTATGATCAGTTAACGGAGCACATCCTTCAATTAACATTCTGCCTTGTGCTGAAAAGCTAGGGAACATTGGAAACTGCACATTTATTATTCATGCATTCTCATTAGTCAGTCAAAGCTTCTGAAGTCAAGATGAAGGTCATAGCAAAAATGATTTTTATTACTGGTAAGAGGGTCATACAGCATTGTGTCTGCATATTTGCAAGTTATTGCACCCTAGCTAGTATTCTCATCTCTGCCTTATGTTCATTTGCTTCAATTCCCTTTCAGAACTGCGTGTGCTGGTTATAGTGTTGATGATGGTAACTCAGGCTAAAGCTTTGAGCTGAAAAGCTGTACAGTGGCATTTCAGAGTCATTATGAAAATCTAACTTGTCCTTAGCATGTAGACCTAATTATGCATGAAATGACGTAACATTCCAGATCCGATGAGGTATGTACAACCTGATAAACAGGGCACTTCTGCGCAGAGGCGGAACTCAAAGGCGCTTCCCTGTAACCTCATTAACACCAGAGAGATGTCATAAGAGGGACCGGGAAAACAGTTTTACCTACTGTTTGTAATTTATAGCCAAATATGGCTCCATTTTTTAATCTTGCAAGTGGTCCCATTGGCTTCAGCCCTGATTTGTGCATGGGGAGGTCAGAAGAATTATCCCTCTTTTAACCTTGCTTTGTGAGTGTTTTCAGCCTCTTGCGTGACACAGAAATAGAAGAGTAATTAGGAAACATGATGATGCCCTGTTCTTTGTAGCCTTACAGATACAGTGATGACAGGGAATAACCTTGTCCCCGGCAGTAATCACAGCAGCTGACTTTCCCCGCGTAGTTAAATGCTGGTGAGGCAGCGTGAGCCGCTACAGTGCTTGGCAGCAGCTGAAGCGATTTCCCGGCCTCGGCAGCAGCATTGCCCTGGCTCCCGCCGGCACTCTGCGGGAACACGGTTCCATTTCCACGCCGCTCTCTGTTCCCAGATGTCAGAGTTCATTTCAGTTTCTGCTGCTTCCGGCATATAAGTCGTTTATTAAAAAAGGATATTCTGAAATATCAGTATAGCTTTGCCTATCGTATGGGAAGCAAAAATAGAAGACTCCGAGTTCAGTCTGGTGGGAAGCATTTTGCTATGTAAACAGGATTACTAACTTGGAGGTCTTCTAAAAACGACACCGTAATGGCCCTAAAACCGCTGTCCCACTGTTGGCTCTCAGTCATGGGGCAGATGTCACCAGGTGCTGTCACTTTCATTATTTTTGTGTAGCCTAAAGGGAGTCACAGGCTGTGAGCCCAAACACTGGCAGCTTAAAATACGTCCTGTAAAGTAGAAAGAAATGCCAAACAAGTATTGTCCGGTGCTGCCGTGAGCTGCCTGGGAGCCCTGAGCTGTTCAGTCGCTCCTCTGAGCTGCGTGTCCAGCAGACCG